CACGAACGCAGCTTGTACTGGATACACGGAGGAAGAATTGAAGAGAAAATAAAGTGAAGAGGTAAAATGCAAGTGGAATTGATAAAGGAAAAGAAAGAGACGAGATCCTCACCACCAAAAATTGCTGAACAAGGCAACAATTCCAAGAGGATGGGGAGGTTGGGAAGAGGAGGATAAGAAGGAGAAGTTCCCAAGGTTGAGGTTCGAAGATCGAGACGTGATCGACGCGATGTCGAATGGATGACTGATCTCTGAGTTAAGCACGCCAAAGCTAACTACGCTAAAAAGCGCTGCGTGCCAATGTTGACTAAAACGCGTAGTTTCCACGTGATACAAATAATCGGACAAACAAACATCCGACGCTATGCTCGATCAGGCAATTGTCAACCTCAGCTTCACAAGATCTTCACTTGTATTTAATAGATATCGAGGTTTAATTCTTGACGTCCGTCGACGTTTTCTCCAGCTACCTTTTATACCCAGCTCTCGCCATGTCAGACACAAAGATCCAGTAAGCGGTTCTTGGCCCCTTGTTGTGCCGCGTGACTCATACGTGTTGTTGTCTGCAACACAGCTCTGCGCCTGCACTCTAGCTTCTATTCAGATGGAAATGGCTAACATGATACCTTTTGATTCACCCACAGAGATCTGCTCAACAAGCCTCGTAGTGAGCTCACGTACGTTACATCTGCCGTTACTTTGAATTGTCATTTTTACCATACCGCCTTACCGCCGTTTTGCATTTTCCCATAGCATTCCACACTTTTAACATTCTCTTTCCCGCTTATCCCGTACTCCATGCCCACACGCCTCATCCCATTGCTATCTCCCCTAGCATATGATCACAGTTGAAGCTAATTCCACGTTTCTTCATCCATCTCTACAGGGAATACGAAGTCGCGATTTTGGAAGAACATGAGCTTACATCCGGTCCCCTCTCCATTCTTCAAACCGCAACTCGTTCTCATTCACAAGTCTTGATATCATGTCGCAATAACCGCAAACTATTAGCCAGAGTAAAGGCATTCGACAGACATTGCAACATGGTGCTAGAGAATGTGAAGGAGATGTGGACGGAGAAACCAAAAGGTGGAAAGGGCAAAGGCGTCAACAAGGATCGCTTTGTTAGCAAGATGTATGTTAGATTCATTTTCTCTGCCAAACAATTTTGTGGACAAATGACGTTCTTCCCTACGCTCCTCAAGGTCCTCCTGATTTCGGGTATATACACCATGCTGACACCTCTTGCTTCCACGATAGGTTTCTGAGAGGCGACTCCGTCATTCTAGTTCTGTTAAGTTGAATATTAAAACTTCCACAAATACTTGCCACTAGCCTGTCACAAAATCACCATTGAAAACGGCATCAGCCAGGCTGCAGTGATACAATATGCCTTCTGCGTGCTCGATTATACGCAAAATCGCAAGCCTCACCAACGTCGTGCAGTTAGATTGACATGGCTTCTAATTACGCTGGACTATTTCTTTTCTACAGGAAGGGGCTTGTACCATTGCCCATTTATTGAAACAAGAAGTTGAAAAGATTCACATAGCTATCTCCTTTTACGGATCCTGTGCCAACCCTGTGACAAATCCGATCACCCATTTCCAACATTTTTTGATGTTTCTGGCGTTCGGAGAGTTTTTGTGTTTTTTAAATTGCTACATCCCCTCATTACATTCACCATCCATTTTTTTTTCCCCAGCTTACCATCTACAAGGCGCAATAGGGGAAAGGTGGGGGGAAAACACGAATGAAAATATATCGGTGGTGTACAGGAAGGAATTACACAATGTTCGCTTTTTGTTTCCTCTCTCCCCGGACCTGTTGTTTTAGCACAAAGGCTTTAATAGAAATACCATTTACCACCAACAGAATATTTTGGCACCAAACCTGTTTCTCTCTTTTTGCCATGTTCTGTCCACATCATACTTCCAGCTTTTATACCCCACTCATATATGCGGGGTAAACAAGGCAGGCATTCAAAACCTCTTCCCTGCTCACTCAGGCCTAACTCGCCAGGCAGCAGCAGGGACCATGTTGAATACTCGGGTGCGGTGTTAAGGTTCCCCCTTTTTTACATCCATCAATCTCATATGAAACCAGATGGCTGTCTCTCCCAACCCCACTTCAGGCTCCATATATAATCAATGTGCAGCAGGGAACAGGTGTTTGGATTTGGTTCACATCTCTACCCGGGATTGATACTGCATCAATCCATTTCGGGCATCATCATTAGGCCCAAAAACGGCAAGCAAGGGAAATCAAAGAATGAAGAACAAAACAGATTAAAAAAAAAAAAATTAACCCGCAAGAATGCGCACCCTTAACCCATAAGAACCTAGCACGCCAACTAAGCAAACCGAATTAAAAATACAAACATAAAACCTCCATCGTACTACCCATTGGAAATCAATTCTTACAACCCCTCCGCAACCCCATTCAAGAACATCACCAATCCAAAAGCCCCAGGATCCGGCACTTTTCCAACCCACTCCCCCTCGCCACCAACATACACGGACCTCCCCAAACTAGCCTTCATATGCTTCGTGGACTCCGCACCATCCTCCGCTGCCTTGACGGCCTTATCCAGATCCCCAGACTCAACCAGCGTACTGATAAACGGCGCAAGGGCATCGATCAACGTCCTATCTCCCACCTGCGCAGGTGTGTACTTTCCCAACGCGTGCAGAGAGTGTTGCAGCGCAGCGGACCATTCCTTCGCCGTGACTGGTATGGGCGATGGTTCCTTAGACCCTTCTTGACGCAAACTGTGCGCGAGCGCGTTGAGGAAGATGGCGTAGATGGCGCCGCTGGTGCCGTCCATGTTATTTTCGACGATAGGGATGATTTTGTTAATCGAGGTGACTAGGTCGTCTGTCAGGGTCTGAGTCGTGTTGGGATCGTTTAGGAAGGCTAGGACGGCTTGTGCGCCGCGCTTCAGGCCGATGCCGCAGTCGCCGTCTCCGACGATTGTGTCGTATTTTGTCACGAGGGGTTCAGCCTCGATAACACGGTTGAGGCCAGATATTAGGGTCTTTTTGAGGAGGGCGGGGTCGACTGTGTAGGATAGATGGTTAGTGGATTGGGGGATTGCAAGAGGGGTGGGGAGTGTTGATGACGTACGTATAAGGTTGGATGGGTGCACTTCGTCTACAATGGACTTCTTGGTATCGTATGTAGCATCTGTCTGATTCTCCCAGGTTGAGGTTCGCACGGGGGCTGCCCATCCAACTGCCTCTGATGGGGCATCTAGGAGATCAAGGAGTGATTTCCCGGGTCCAAGGCCCGTGTCTGCCAGTCTGAGCAAGGAGATGCTGAATCCCGTCCCATCTAGACTTGTCAAGAACGTTCCCTGAATTGTGCGAACTGGCTTAATTTGGTAATCCCGTTCTAGTTGGGCGGTTACCTCAGCTGTCACTGCAGATACTTCGAGTGTGCTGACGCCTCCGAGATTGTTGATGAGCAGGACGAATTTGTCTTCTTTAGCGGAGTATTTTAAGAATGCTCGATCCTTATCGTTTTGATCGAGTAACTGTAGGAGCATGATCTTGATAAGCTCTTCCCCAGTGGCTTTGACCCTATAGGATCCTGGTTCATTGTGGATTCCCATTCCTACTTCAATTTCATCGTGAGGGATCCTTTCATCGGAATTCGGATCTGGAATCCTTCTTCCAGGAACATGAACCCGTTCAAGAGAGGAGCCAACCGAGACAATATTACTAGTTGTCAGCTGCGCAATTCGGTATACATCCTCTAAAGGCGCACTGCAGATTTCATCATCAGCACAAACATTATATTTCCGGCATGATTTAAGGGAGAAAAGAAGGAACAAGGCCTACCCCGTCTCCGCAAGCGCCCCTACAATCTTTAACACCAGAATGCCACCGCCAATCCCTCTCCTACCAACCTTCCCTCCCTTTGCCCTCCCAACGCCAACGTCATCAGCAATCGTAAAGAACTCCGTCTTGATCCCCGCAGCATTCGCTTTTTCCGCAGCCATCCCAAAATTCATGACATCACCAGTGTAATTCATGGGAATAACCAGAACCCCCTTGGAGGTCCCAATGCGTTCCATGATAGCTCTCCTAATCTGTTCAGCAGAAGGGGAAGCGAATATAGTTCCTGCGACTGACGCCGTTAAGAGCCCTTTACCAACGAATCCGGCAAAGGCGGGTTCATGACCCGAGCCGCCTCCGGAGACGATGGAGACTTTGGGGTTTTTTGAGACATCGGGGGTAGGGCGACGGTATATGATTTTGTTGTCGCTGTCGAAGGCAAGCGAGGGGTTTGTGATGGTGAGGGATGCGAGGGCGGAGTTTACTAGTTTGGTGGGGTCGGAGAAGAGGTGTTTCGCTGGGAGCGGAGGGAAGGGTTAGTTAGTGCATTGCAATGCTCCTACACGATTTACAGCAGTGTTCATACGATTACGTACTCTGCATTTTGAAGATGGTGGTGAGAGGGTTTAATCTCAGATGGAGGGAGATTGGGAAAACGGGGTAATATAGGCGTAATCCTTTGATATCTTTACGCAATAGCAAATAGCCAGTCCAGGGCACATAATCGTAGCAGAACCAGACTGAATCAGAGAGATGAGTGAGTGTATATACACCGGTGTATATGATGGTTCTTACGAGTGGGAGAGTTGGAGAGTTGGAGAGTGGGAGAGTGGGAGAGTAGGAGAGTGGGAGAGTGGGAGAGTGGGAGAGTGAGAGAGTGAGAGAGTGAGGGTTGATGCTGATGACAGACCGATGCATTTTTTAAAAAAATAAAGAAGTCGCCCTCCACCTTTCAACAGCAGCAGTGGTACAAGCCATACACGAAGGTCCCTCTATCCATCCAGATCATGCATTATCCTGTTTCCTCCCGGCCGTCTTCCAGTGCGGGGCTTGGACCGACAGTGAGACCCTGTAAAGACGCCTGGAACAGGGATGTATGGTAAAGTCATAACCAACTAGTTACTTCGTTTCCACCGCCGGAGTCCCAAAAGATACAGCATTATGGTCCTGCACAGAGGAATACATGGCGACGGTGTCATAGCCGCTGCTGTGACAGGCGGATACTATATGGATACGGACATTGGAGCGAGTGGAGGTGGGGTTATGCTTAAGTCACAGAGTATATGGTGGGGAAAGGGAATTGCCGGTCGCACTGCCGTGAAATGTGTGGAGCTTCATCAAGCATGATTTCGTATTAACTAATTAATTATTGCTGATTGGAGTTGAAATTGGAGGTGGCATGAGTTCTCGGTCGAGCAGCTGGGCCCATTATATAACTAACTATTTAACTAGTTATAGGAAAAGGGGGGGGGGGGAAGAAGAAAGGATTTGTTGCTGGAAACAAAGCAGAGCACGAACAGAATATCCCATATGGGATCCGACAAGAAGGCATCTTGCTTGACTGCGGATCACCGTACCTAACTTTCACAGTCCTGACATATTATAACAATTGCCTTCCTAACGTTAGGGAGGTGGATATCGCGGTGCAGAAAGGGGGGCCATAGCTCCCCGATCACCAAAGCTTAATACTTATATGCTTAAGTAGTGATTTTGCTATCCCGGAAACCCCTTTTGCAGCTCATTCCCATTACCGTGGGGTTAAGTCACTCCACCTACCACTACCTATTTCGTGAACTAGCAGAACTACTTTTTGCCTTTCACATTATTTCTGATCCGGTGATGATAGAAAAAATCAGCATCAGGTTTTAAAATGGCAGGTTTCATGAGGACCTAAAGATCCCTTGTTCTACAAAGCTTTTCGCTGCATGGAATACAAGAAGAAAACGAAAGAAGAGGGGAAGAAAATCATAATTCTCATGATTAGCATTGCGTCTATCAATCCTTGACTTTTTTACATGAAAATTCTCAGAAACTGGTCAGGGGCAACTACCGAACAAAGGAAATGGTAGCCTGTATTTCATACACTGGGTGAGAGATGAGTCACAAGGCAGATGAAGATTCTGATTCCACAAATATCTCCTGCAGAATTAACCTCATGTAATCAAAAGAAACACGTCAAAGAAATAAAATCTTGTCCTTTCAAGCTAGGTATACGTATTTATTTCCATCTTCCCTCTCTATGTACTCCTTGTCGATGAGTCTGAATGTGCGGTTGAATTGCATGTTAGTTAACATGTTCATTTGGAAACAGAATATATTTGGGTTGGGGTTTGCAAAGCAGTAACAGGCCAAGGAAAAATCTCAATTCACCTTTCAATATTAGATTTGATACCAGCCGGATCCAACACCCCTCTATCTTTCGTCTTATTGATAACCTCCGCCACTAGCTCCGCGTGCGTGATGACTTTCCGGGTCTTTAGAATGCGCACAATGGCTGCCTGTGTTTCGTAATGCCGGTCTGCCGCAATCCGTTCATGCATAATCTTGTTCTCCTGCTTGGTCTCCTTGAGTTGGATCTGGTTGATTTTGATGCGCATCTTGGGATCGGAGAAGTTCAAGTTGAAGGCGAAAGTGTCGTCGTTGTTTACCTCTCGACCCTTTGGTCGCTTGACCAGAACTCGGTATTTCGCGCAGGCTAGGGATTGGAGAGTGCGTTTCAATTCGACGTCAGCTGGGAGGTGGGGATTAGATTAGTCTGTGTCCATATGAAAATATATTGCATAAGATCTAAATGGCGTTTTTTGCTGAAAAGAAAAGAAAGATATGCTATGCTGTAACACTTACGCAGGCCAGTAGCTTCCCTGATTTCTGCGTATGATAGAGTGGCGCCCTCCACTACGTCATTGAATAGGAGGAGAACGAGGGCTTGGAACGCGCTCACGACGATTTCCTTGTCACCTTTGGGGAATTTAGCCTTTAGCTGGCAGTGCGCAAGCGAATGCTTCCAGTGAAGTTTTCGTCCGTTGTACTTGCTATTGTAAAACTGATCGAAGCTTTCCAAGGAAGATGATATTATCTTCGGCAAATTCACTGGCACATCTGGATACGAAGGCCATGCTGCTGCTGATATGACGTTCACGTTCAGATCCAAGCCAGGTCTGTTCTTCTTTGGTCCTAGTAGCGCGTTGTAGGAGGCCATTTCATCCCGCGCAAGATCCATGTCCTTGAACATAGACTCGAGATTACGGGTGAAATCCGAACCGCACTCTTTAAGGTTTTCAATATGGGTCAGTAAGTTATTTCCAGGGGTTGGTTTGGTTTGATTATGGCACGTACCTGATCTGAGTCTGGCAAGCATACTCTTTTCAGCCTCATCACTTGCACTTCTACCCATAAGAAGACGGCGGGCAAGATCGTTCTTATAAAAGGCTTCGAAAACGGCTTTTCCATGAATAAAACGGAAAAGACCCAATACTTGGTCCAACTTCTGATTTACCTCTGCATCTTCATCAGCCAAGGCCGTGCTGCCGATGCTGGTTTCTCCATCCAGGCTCTGGATTGCTTTGACACCACCTCTGAGTAGCATATCGACGTATTTTGCAACCATTTCACCTGGTTTAGGATTGTCCGTACCCCAGGTAGATTCTGATTTTTGCGTTTTGTTGATAAACACTTCGAAGGCCTCACGCAGAGTGTGACCTAGGACTTCATCTTTGTGAAATGCATTTATCAGAATAACGTCCAAATTTTGCTTGAAACTTAATAGCCTGGTAACCATCCTATCTTCGTTTGTTTGATCAAACACTATCTTGGACCCTTCTGTGGTGATATACTTGAAGAATGCGGGCTTTATTTTGTGACCCAGCTCCAAACGTTGCAGCAGCGAGTACAGTTGTTCTAGTGCCACCTGACTATGCATGTTGAGGAGTTCGACAATGTCATCTTCTTTAAGTAGGATCTTGATCTGGTCTGAGACAAGATAACGATCTACCATTTGGGATATGCTTTGTTTGGTGCTCCTGTCCAGACCAAAAAGATCACACCTCTGAATCTCACGGCTAATCAGGAGTTGACACCGCTCTACATAGGTAGCAAGACCGCAATGACTAGCTTCATTGACGACCCAGCTGCTGATGTATTTTTCGGATGCATCAAGCATGTATGGTTCAAAATATTTCTTGTAAACGCCAAGGTCATGAAAGAACTTGATAGCACGCCTGAGTAGGTTCGGGTCAACTGCCGTATTACCATCCTTTCTGTCAAGTTCAATGAGTTGGCAGGCTCCCTGTAGAATGCGGGGCCGCAATGTATCGTTCAAGAACATTGCGGTGCGGAATTGAACTAAACCCATCTCGTAAATGACTGGATTATCCGCGGAATGAAGGAGGAACGATTGGTCTAAATAGTAGAAAATAGAACGTATTGAAACCTAAAACAGAAAATAGTTAATAACTGAATTACTCAGAATTTGATATTCGTTTTGGAGAGAAAAAAGCATACCAAACGAGCATTCCACGTAGCCCAAGCCTCTTCCACCGACTTCAAGATATCAACATCATTACCATCCTCCGATCTCAACAATAACGAATTTAGAACATTCTCACATATGTGCTCGTGGCAGCGATCTTGTAGCTTTTTGGCCAGAGTTGCAGCCCTACCCTGTCGACAGGCGTTTTCTGCCCCTCTATAGAGCTCCTCGAGAGATTGTTCCGGCTTCTGATCCCCAAGGATAGCCAACAGAGCAGCGTCCAGCTGCGACCAGACTTTCTCAAAGTATCGATTCCGATCTAGACGAGGTGTGGCTCTTAGGTTCTTTACGACCAGCTTCTTTGCTCCAGCGTGTGGTGTGAAGTTGCTTGATCGGATTGTCGAGTTGCGGGAACGGGATCCCACCGGCATGGCGCCATTAGAATTTGAAGGTGACAGATTACGCCCACTCGCACCGGCTGGTGATTTTGAATCGGTATTATTTTGGAATGTGTACATTTTATTGATTGACATTAGTTGAGTGGGAGCGGCAGGGTATGAGGCAGGGAGCTGGAGTCCCTCTCGTTTCACGCGCTTGGTATTTGGAGACAGAATCTCCCCTCTGCCGTTTTTCGATATGTTATTCCACCCGTTCTCAAAAAGGTACGTGATAGTCGCTTGTTTCCGCACCAGATCCTCGCGATTTCCAGGATCTTGTTCGGGTTGTTTCCGTTTTCCTGGAGACTTGTAGTTCCCGCCCCTCGGTGCAGGTCTATTGGAATTATGCATCTATTTTTGTAGATTGATATCCAAAGTCCATCAGAGCTCACATGTCATAAAGCAAGATAAACGACATACAACCATGTAGAAAAAAAGGTACCTCTGCGAAGTGTTAGGAAACGGTGGGTGTTGTAAAGGAGACTCGTTCAGTATGACGCTGTTTTGACGTTCATGGGTTAAATCGCCTGACGGAGTCAACTGTAGCAGACAGCTCCGATTGGCTGTTCCGTGACTTGAGCTTTGGACTGAGAGATGTATGAACGAAAATATGCGTAGGATTGAGAGAGATTGATGAATGATAACAAATCAAAGGAGATTGATGAGGAGGAAAACAAAATGAGATGTGAAAGAAATGTGGATGATGATGAATAATTCTGCAGCTCATTCACCTCTAGGGATGCGTTTGGCAATCATCCCAAATCTCTACCAGTCTATATACTCACTCACTTTGCTCTGTTTACGATATAACACATCACATTAATTTATTCATGCTGTCACTTAAATGCGCTAGGGAAGTCCTCCAAGACTCGGATAAAGAGAATCATTAGGCATATCATATATTCTTTCCTCCTTTAAATGCTTCTCCTTAACAAACGCCTCCAGCTGCCTCTGGAATTAATATACATTTAATACAGAAATCTAAGAAAATGACTTTGGACCCATTTTGTCGATCGACTGCTCATCCTCAAACTACGGCAGGTAGTCAGCATTAATGTCTCCCTAAACGGACGCCAGGTAGTTGTGAAAGAGAGCAGGACTTACTTCAAGAAACCCAACAGCTTCGATTAGTGCGATGTATGACTTTACCAGATCCTCTACTGTCTCTCTAGGCTTCTTTTCATCCAGACCACAGATCTTTGTATACCGCTTGAATATGCCAACAATACTTTGTCGATTTTTAGACAGAAATATGCGAGTTTGGTCACGGACTTGTTGGTTGTGTAAGCCGCGCGCAAAAACTGCTGACACGATCACGCGCATTACGGAAAGAAGCAGATCATAGTATTTCTGAAGAGCGTCTGGGTTATCAATTTCTGAAAGTTATCAAGTTAGTCACCATGATAAGGGCTAAGAAGAGGATGTGATTTTACCTATTCCAA